ATTTGTCTGCTTTTTGTAACTGAATTGCCACTGTTCACCGGGCTTTAGGTGGCGGAGTCCAGATGGCGCTTATCTTATATGTAACTAAGCTCGAGGTACTCAGGAGCCTTACTTACAGGGTCGTTACTTCGTTATTATTACCGGATTGACGTCACAATTCTATATTCATCACCACCTTATTCTACTTCATTCGTCCTACAAATAACTATCTTCCGTCATCTCAGTCACCACTCCCTTAATGACCTTTTACGCAATACATCCATCGCTTTCTAGGTCTTCCTCTACCTTTATACGTCCATTCTTATGATGTCCTTCTTGTTAAATGCCATTCGTCCCTCCTCACAACATGCCCACACCATGCTAACCTTTTACTCCTTACGTTGCCTATCGCTCAATTGTATATTATAAATGCGAATATTTACATGGATATATGTTTGTTAGAATTTGTAATCTCAATGTGATTTGTCTTGGATGTAGAAGATACTTTGAAAGAACCCATAGGCTACTTCCTGTATTTTTTTAATTAACCACAGATGAAGTCGTAGAAGGAAGCTAGTATATAAATGCAAACGTTTATATGGATGGATGTCCGTTAGGTTAGGTATCTCCGGAACGGCTTATATCACGATGAAATTCGGCTTAAATTTAAAAATAATCTGAAAAATACATAGGTTACTTTTTTAAATTCCTAGCGAGCAAAAGATAGTAAAGCATATATCAGAAAAACAAAGATATAAAATATCAAAGCCGATGCTAGATGCGATTCCTTAATAATAATACTTATATTTGAATATTTCCAGATAAATTGGCGGAACACAAGCGGCTGCAGCAGCGGAACATAGAGCTGTGCGAGGAGTTGAGCAAGCTGGAGGCGCGCGCGGCCACGCTCAAGGAGAACCTGGACGAGCACAACGAGGAAAAGCAGCAGCTCCTCGCGGACCAGATCAACACGCAGAGGAACCTGCAGAAGCTGCTCGACTTCATCAGCCAGTTCCGGCAGACTGCCATCAGGATCAGAACTGCACCCCTCGCCGACCCTCCAGCCCAGCCCGCCCAGCCCTCCGACCACGACAGTAACGAGGAATAACACGGTAAATATTTACATTTTTTTTTTATTTTTTTTAAATCAACATCTACAGAGTCTTGGTCCGTGCTCTTTTTTGCACAGTTTATATTTTTAAATTTATTTATAAGTAGCTTAAATTTAATACAAAAATATGAAATTTCGCCAAACTGCCAAAACAATTTATTGCCTAATAAACTAAATACTTAGTAATCTAACTAATATTGTAAATGCGAAACTTTAAATGGATGAATGTTAGAGTTTCTTTCTAGATTCTGCTGAACAGATCTCGACGAAATTTGGCATGGATGTAGAGTATAGTCTGGAAGAATACATAGGATACTTACTTTTGTTTCTTTATATACCACGCGGACGGAGTCGAGGGCTACAGCTAGTCTTACTAATATTATAAATGCGAAAGTTTAGTTGAATGAGTGTTTATTAGAGTTTATAGCATAAACGGTTGAACGGATTTCGATAGATTTTGGCAGCTATAGAGCATAGTATAATTACTACTGGATTTTGTTTTTTTTTAATTTTCCGCAGACGAAGTCGCGGTCGACAACTAGTTAAAAATAAATGTAATAAGTAGCTTATGTTTTTCCACCCTATGTCCAATACCTATGCCAAATTTCAATGTGATTTGTTGATCAGTTATCCAGATACGTAGAAACAAACATCCATCCATCCAACTTTTGCATTTATAAAAATTTTGTAAGGTTAATTTTCATCATGTAGATATTTTTAATACAATCTATAGTCATTTTTTATGTGATTTCGTGTTATAAATCTATGAACGGCAGTGTACATGAAAAAACACGGCGTTTCCAAGCCCAAAGTGTGAGAGAGAGCAACAAGTGATAGAGAGGCACAATTGATTTAAGAGTTCGGCTTATGACGTTATTTACCTTTTTTCTATCATTTATTACGTCACATTTTTCTTGTTACAGTTGACAACACCTGGATATTAGTGTATTGACGATTTGTTAATAATTCTATGTAAATACAGTTGATTTTACCTAGGATAAAATTGTTCTTTATACCAATGTTTTTAAAATAATGAAATGAATTTATTTTTTTTACAATTTGTATACATCAAATTGTTAATTTAATTTTGGTACATTTAGGAAACATATCTCTGAGAATTATAAGCTTTGGTTAATATCGAATAGTGCCACTTTGTCTTCTAATGCACACTATGAAATACCCTCAGTGTAAACTTAGGGAAAGAAATCTTCGCTAAAAGAGTGCTTAAATGGCTCTTATGAGTGAGTCAGTGTTAGTAATAATCGAAAATCATTTTTTTATATCGAAAAATTCTGATAGCTTTGAATGTACTCATGTTTATAATTGTGTATTTATTATATAAAATAATTAAATAATCATTTATATTAAATTATTTCCCTTCATGATCTATTTGGAAAAGTCATCTATCTTTTTCAATATACAGGATGTCCAGAATTAATGGACTACCATTGTACTCGTCTTTTCCAGACATCCTGTATATAATAGGCGATAAAAATCAAATATATTTGTTGTCAATATATTTGGTTCAGTTATTTTATAACATAGTATCGAAAATCTATTGTGACTAGAAAAATCTATAAGTTTTGTATTTTTATCTCTATGTGTATTTTTTTTAGTTAAGTACTTTGAAGTTATCTTCTCATTATCAAAATCAATTTTGTAAAAGTATTGACTAAAAAAAGACAAAAAAAAACTGAGTAATTGATTTTTTTTTAATCTAACTATAGTTAAATGTGTGTTATTTCATTAGTGTTAATTATTTGTTCGTCATATATGTAAAACATTTTTATTACATGTGTAGTAATTTTTAAGTTTCATTCCTAGATTTATTGTTTCTATTTTAGTGTCAGTAGACATTTGACCAAACTTAATTAATAAATTTCTGTTTATTAATAGGAAGAAGGGAAAGTTAAATAAAAATTATAACCAAACTTGTGTTTTTAAGTTTACGGTGGATTTTTAATATTTGAATCTTAAAAAATCTATAAAATCATCTTTTTTAATAAATCGAAGCATCTCGGATGTGAAATATTTTAAATAAATTAAACTACAATTTTAGTATTACGAATGTTTACGACCACTGGATTATGCGTCTAAATTTTTTTTTGTAAATGCCTTTCGTTATAAATATAATTATGTAGATTGGTTTAATAAAATTATTTCTTTTATTGAAATGTGTGTCAATTAATTTGTTAGTTTTTAAATATGTTAGTAATAAGAACCGTTGAAATCAATTTAGCTGTTACACATTATGTTTTGATATCTACTTCAAATAATGTATAATTACTTTATTTTTTTATTGTTACAAAAAATAATAACGATAATTATGTTTATTTAAAATGACCAAAATTTTGTAAACTATCGAAACATTTGACTCAAATTGCCGGAGGCCTAGTTTGTCTTTTCCCTTCCCACTATTTTCTTAAGAGGAAAGGATAGGTCGTGGAATTTGCAAGGGAAGACGCATAGGTAAGGGAAATTATCTCTGTTGATGTATGTTCTGTATATGCATGCAGGTTATTGGCAGCTGTCACTTCGCTGTTCTGGCGAATTTATATTGCAACAGAATTTCAATGTCTATGTGTTCATACTAAAATATCTGCGAAAGTAGTATTTTTGAGAATTTGTACTACAAATTTTACAAATAAAATTTCTAGTTTGAGTAAAACACGTAATGTAATAGCCGTCTATCAGTATATGTCGTTTATTGGTATTGTTTTGGAATAAAGTATTCTGTGATATATTGATTTCTCTACATTTGGTCGATGTGGCAATAGTGAGACATTGTTTTGTAACTCGACCATTTGTTGAGTGCCTTCAAGATTTCCTTGGTTCATAATTTATTGTACAAAACCAGGGTTGTGTAAATAAAATTCATTGATTATAAAAAATGATTTATTTAATTCCCTATTTAACAGAAAAGACGACGAATTTTTTTTAGGACCAAATAAACTATACACGATTTTAAGAGCGCACAACTTTGACTAAACTATCGCTCACTGTTGTCTCGATTTGATTCCTATGAGCTTAAATAGAAGTGCGCTCACTACTCGATTTTTAGTAATGCAACTAAACACTTAAATTGGCTGCGAAACAACTGTGCGATAGCTTAGTCAACGGTGTACGCTCGCTCTAAACACATTTAACAACATTGTTAAGGCAATTGAACAACACTCTTTAAACATAGGTGTAGTTCGCAGATATTACATATAAAGAAGAATAGAAATATTTTTACAAGTAAATTCTAAAGTGCTTAATTTTTATTTCCTTAAACAACTTCTAATATTTTCCTTCCTACTGTGACGTCTTCTCGTAGTTGTCTTATACTCTGTTCTAGTATTCCACATTCGTATGAAAACAAATTAGTGTAGAGTCTCATTTCACCGATTCCTTTCTGATTAACTTCTACCAGACCTGAGAAATATGAGGTACCGAAATCATTGTTCTCTACCAAAGCGTTCACGTGAGATATTTGTCCATCTAACGCTTCTAATATCCTTTGGGTAAATAAATATACGCTATATGCAATTGATAATGAAGGTACTAATGGAGAAGACGCTTTTTCATAAGTTGTATAATCTCGAAGTGTAGATACTAAATCTTGACATTTTTCTTCAGGCAGTACTGTGCTAGGACTCGCCTGGGATAATAATGGAACCATAGTGTCTCTTGAATGGCCACAAATAACCGGCACGTGACACTCGCTGTGCACGAAACCGTTCGCTTTGGCGTACAAAGTCTGCGCTTTCAACGCATCGATGATGGTTACACCAAATAATTTGTTCTGTTCGTAACATCCCTGATGCCGCATAACCTCAGCTGCCATCGGTACGAGCGTATTAATCGGTTCTGTTACTATACCAAAGAATGGTACTGGTGTAATTCTAGTCACCGCGGAAGCAACTATTTTTATAAAATCCGCGTTTTGAGACAATATCGATCGTGATGTCGGTGGACATTTTTGTGGTAAGCCTCCAACGGCTAGAACTAAACTTGATCCTTCTAAGGCCTCTTCTAATGTACTTCGACCGCAGTAACCTGTAGCTTTTGATTTGGATGGGATGTGTGATAAATCTAAAACTACTCCGGGCGTGCTATCGGTTGTGTCGTGCAGGACTAATTTGCTTACAGAAGGACAAGTCCGCAGTAGTAGCGATGCTGTTTGTCCGACATCATTTGTCGCCCCAACAACGGTTACTTGATGATTTCTCGTAGCAGTGAAGAATGGAGAGAAAGTTATTTTATAAAATTGCCGAGGTACAAACATATTTATACTGCAAGGAAAATCAAACACAAAAATTTGAAAAGTCAAGTTTTATGACACAAGATATTTTTGATTTGTAATTTGTGTTTTTTTTTTAAATAAGATAGCCGCAGTGTTGTAGTTCTCGGACACATTCCACCAGCTAGGTCTTTTAAATTTTATGAATATGCATTAAATAAAGTTGATTGAATTGACGAGTTAATAAAGGCAAGAGAAAAGAAAATGAATGAAATACTTTTCTATGTCATGTGTTGACTTTTTTTTACTGACGTAACAGTTGTCCGCCATTCTAAAATATATCGGTCTTTGGTCGTCGGTCTTGCGTACATTGAGGCTCCCAGTTTTCGATGATGTATTCAGAATTTGTATTTAAGTAATTGATCTCCATGTAGGAAGCATTGTCAAAAAGGATATTAATATCATTTTGTATATTATTGTCTGTGCTCTAAAACTTTCCGTGACATTTTCTACTGCTTTGTGTCAAGGATGTTTTAGAAATTATAGAAAACCAAATTAACATCAGTAACTTCAATCAAAAATCTTTACAATCATGTTGTTAGCTAAATTTAAATCGCCAAAACCGTTCTTTACAAATACAGGGAAATCCCATTTAACTTGTATACCAATGAGAAGTCTTCAAGTATCTATCATAGGCTCCATTGGAGAGGTTGGATCTAATTTGGCTTTACTATTAAAACAGAATCCAAAGATTTCGAGATTACAATTGTACGACGATAATGAAAATGTGAATAAACTAGCAATGGAATTAGACTGTTTACCAGGCGGACCTAGTGTGTCGGCTTTCGCGGGTCCATCCATGTTACGTCCGGCGATACGTTTTACAGACCTCATCCTAATGGTCGACAGGACTCACAGGAAGCCAGGTATTAAACGGGAGCAAATGATTTTCGCCAACGCACCTCCAGTTCAGAAGCTTTGCAGAGCAATGGCTGAACAGAATTCGACGGCATTTTTAGCTATGTCTACAAGTCCGTTAAATTCAATAGTACCATTTGCAAGCGTACTTTTGCTTAATTATGGCAGTTACAATCCATTTAAAGTGTTTGGTATTACGCACCTCGATTTAGCGAGGACACGATCTCTTGCTGGTAATGTTCTACAAGCGAATCCAATGTCATTACAAATACCAGTGATCGGGGGACATTCGGATGAGACGATAGTTCCGCTATTTTCGAATATTTCACCGAAGACATACGAATTATCCGAACGCCAAGCTGATATGTTAACGAGACTAATAAGAAAAGCTGGTGTGGAGGTTGTTAATAAAAAATATGGTGTCGAATCCGCCACCTTGTCGATGGCATGGGCGATAAATGAGTTTGTGGATTGTATTTTAGATGCGTTACGTGGAGCTGAAGTGATTGTAAATTCGTATACGGCGAATCCTCATTTTGGAACAAAATTTTTCTCTGGTCCTACCATAGTTGGACCACAAGGTTTGGTACAACCATGCTATGAATTCAAATTGAACGAATATGAAGATAAACTTTTAGATAAAGCAATTCCGATGATAAGTCGAGACGTAGCCCAAGGAGAGCAATATGTTGACGTGTTTGAAAGCTTTGTGAAGAAATTTTAATTTAAATTTTGTTTATGTGTTCAATAAGTTTGACAAAATAAAAATTGATTTTATGTATCTTTTCTTAGTCACTAAAGAACCAGAGCTTCAAAAGGAAATGTACTATGATGTAAGACATTACTTGTACAAAATACTTTAATATTAAAAGCGTATCTTTACCACAGTATAGGGAACACATTTAAGCAAACGTTGAATGCATAAAGACATTGGAATGGTTCTTGTGAACGTGTCACGACAAAGGTTCAATATCGGGGAAACGGCAATGTTGCGGCCCAGGACGGCCATCACGGGGCTACGGAGCTGTTAACTGCCGCACAGTGCTGCCAATATTACCAACGCACGTACTCATCATTGCACCAACGTTAACCATTAGTGTTTAAATATATTCATATTTCTAGAAACTTATTACTACTAGTGTTCGTTGTAATACCTGGTGCTTCGGCCAAAGAAACCCCATTGGACCAATTTAAATCATAGAAACAATCGACTTACGGGATTTTTTTCCGGAAAGTACACGTGACACCATCTTCCCTGGTCCCTGGTCCCTGACTAAGCTTTTTCTTCAACAAGATTAAAAAAATACTAGCTATGTAGGTCAGTTTACGATAATGACTCATTGAGGGGTTGCGATACCTTCCATTGTCGTTACCTCGTTGAATTTTAAGGCTCTGCTACGCTATACTAGATATCCGCAGGGATATTTTTGGATACTCCATCACTTTAGAAATGACTTCACACAGCCAAAATAGACGCATAATGATATATCTCATTCGTCGCTGCTTGGATTAATTAGAGGTTATTTTAACTGTTCTAAAGTAAATTAAATAAATAAAAGGAATGATGATTAAGAATAAATAAAACAATGTAAAGTACAAAGCATTTAATTAGCGATGTATGCGTTTTAATAGTTGTAAATAAGGTAATCTATGTAAAGAACTCGTGCAACTTTCCCATCGAGTATTCGTTATCTCAAGTTGTTTGCTAACTCGCCGCGGTAAGAATTGCAAATGGCGATAATTCCAACTACGCCGATAAATCAGCTCCAGTTTTTCCTCGAGGGTGCAGCTCCGGTGCCATTGTGGGTGATCGATCGTCTTTTCCCGTACTTAAAACTTTCTTTCACGACGCTCGCGTACATGTGTTGTGAAAGAGTTTTGACTCAACACTTCGACATGTTTGGAATCTGTAAGTATTAGATTTATCGGTTTTTAATTTGAAAGGGTTTCATACTAATATTATAAAAGCGAAAGTTTATATGGATGGATGTTTATTAGAGTTTGTAGTATAAACGGCTGAACGGATTTCGATGAAATTTGGCGTAGACGTAGAGGATAGTCTGGAAGAGCACATAGGATACTCAGTTCTGTTATTTTTCTTTTCACGCGGACAGACTCGCGGGTAAAAACTAGTAGGATATACATCAATGCTAAGTTTGAAAACATTTTGATTTCTTAAAATAATACATATTTCTACAACTCAAATTACTTAGTAGTATGACTAAGGAAAGCAATAAATTACCAATCGATGACACCCGCGGGAGGTGCCGCGGTCACCAACTAGGTTCAAACGATTTATAGCCACAGCTAATTGACGTCAATTTATATCTCCAATACACAATGTAATGGTTACAATTAGAGAACCCGGTGACAATGCACTCGTAAAGATACGGGCGTGTTATTGATATTGAACATCTTAAGAACGAAATTTATACACAAAACATTATAACCTGGAAAAACTAAAGAAACAAAACTAGTAAATTTTCTTCATGAGACTATCTAACCTCTTTCTAAATAAAAAAAAAACGTAATAAAGAAAACACTTTGTATCAAGATTGCTTGGTTATTAATTTGCATGTACGTGTAGTAGTGGAAAATACCATCTCTTTGAGGCTGGTAATTGTATTAATGCGATAATTAGCGTCAATGAGACTTACCTTCCTGTCGCATCTTTGCAGTTCCCAGAACACTTCCGCAGCGACGTTCGCGGTGCAACGTTTGAAAGTCAATTTTCTTGTTTAATGCGCTTAATTAGATTGCTTACCCGAAGTCACTACTACCTTTTCAATTACTATTACTATTATATTCAAAATATAGGAATATTCAAAAACTTAAGCAAGATATAATTTTCATTGGTACCAATAAAACTCGTTGATAAACAATTTTAAATTTTCGTGGTTTTTACAAATATGATGTTCGTAAGATACTGGTTGTGAGTCAGCCCGTCAAAATGGCGCTTGCAACTGTGCCAAAATATAGGGAGCTAAAACAACCAAATGTGGCAAGGGACCCGTATCTTACTAACATCATATTCGTTGCTAAATGCTTTCCAACTTTTCGCAGTTGTTTACTAATTTTGTAGTTAATGATACAAGACGCTTTATTTACATTAGGGAATGTAATAATTAAATCTTATAATGTGGCGAATTCATTTGGCAGACGACAGCGGCAGTGATACGCGTCGACTGTTTTGAAATAATACGGGCAACATTTCTCCTCCGCTCCGCTTTTATTAATCGATTTAATTGAGCCAATGAACAATTTAATTAAAATTCTAAAGACACGCCGGAGCGACTGTACTCGGATGCGGACTGTGTTGCGGTGAAACTGTGAATTGAGTCAATCCATTTGTTTGTAATGTACATTTTGTTTATTTAGTCAAATTCACAAACAACTTGTATACAAAAATAGTTGTGTTAGCCCTTGTTTATGTACTTGCCCTTATAATCTTGCTAATCAGTCATCTCAAAAGATAAAACATATTATGTGTTTATAAGTATTCTGTATAATTTTTGAGGTCTTAGTAATGCTAATTGCGGTTTATTTTCGATTAACTAAAAAGTTTAATTTAATAGTTGTGGCATGTCTCGAAAACAAAGCCTTTTGTTTAATTATTTATGAAATTAAAAGAAGTTGATTTTATTTGAAAAGTCTTGTTTTGCGCAGTGTCAGCGACATGAATAAAAATATGCGATTATTAAAATGTCTGAGTACAAATGAGCGATGAGGCGCGGAGGTATGCAGGTATTTACGGTACGGGTTATTGGGCCCCGGGACGATGTCGCTGGGTTCCGACTTACTTCTCGACTTGTTCTTATATTTACCTTTTCGTCTCACGTCAGTCTAATGTAGTTTTAAAAATTTACATTATTATCAGAATTAATGTTTACCTGATTGTGTAAAAAAATGAATGATGTAAATTAGATAGTCATAAATCCTTCAGTTTCGGTGTAAAATTTTGTCCGCATTGAAGTTAAATGCAAACTTTACATTAACTTTAGGAAGACTAATAACTATTAGAGCGCGCGCACACCTATGACAAAACTATCGCACAACTGTTCAGTCTTGCTTTGGTTCCTAAGAGCTTATATGGAGGTGCGCACATTACTCGATTTTTAGATGTGGAACTAAACTGTTGAATAGACTGCGAAATAATTGACAATCGTTCAAAATATTTCCCAAGTCTCAAGAGTCCTTTCCTTCCATGCCACTACACTTAAAATTGTGTTCTGTGCAGTGTCTCGCGTAAAGTTAACAGACGCCAAGGTACATGAAATGTATAGTAAACTTTGGACCGCACTGTACTTTTGCTTTTCAATAAGTCAGTAATGCAGTTCATATATTCAACCAAGTGTAGAGTTATCTTTGTGCGTGATGGTACATAACAACTGCACCATTAAGCAGGGTGACGTTACAATGGGATTTGCGGTATAAATCGCGCAATCGTCGGTGGCCACGCGCAGATTCTCATGTGATAGACCACGGTGCGTGCAAGTCGCGTGCCGGACATTATATGAGATCGAGAATTTTTACCGAATTTTTAGTAAGTCATATAAGAAACTTCTGTGGAAATAATCTTATTTTGTAACAATGTATTTTAAATTCCGCAAGACAATCATTAAAAGAAGACGCTGCCTCCTGAAACACAGTTATCTCTAGCTCAGGAGACAGAGTCCCACTAACTGTACTAAACTGTTTTAGTTCAATAAAGGATTTTTTTTTTTTTAAAAAAAACTTCTGTGGAAATAATAAATACAACTCAATATAACTGTATGTGCAAGTGTTACCTAAACGGTTTGATTTGTTGGTTAATTTACATTTTTTAAGTCTACACTATAATTATAAAAAGGAAAGATTTTTATTTTTGTATGTAATGAAATAACTCAAAAACTACTAGGCCGATTTTAAAAATTCTTTCATAGTTAGAAAGATAATTTATCTGTGAATAACATAGACTATTTTTTAATTACATGCGGGCGAAGTCGCGTGAAACAGCTAGTATTGTATAAAAACAAACGTGGTATTTGAAACACGCAATTTTTTTTTTAGTTTACCTGATTACTTTTTATATATTCTGTAAATTTTCTTTGTTATTAGTTTTGATTTAAGGTTTAAAATAGGGTATTAAAAATGTGCTTAGCACAATAATTCTATATCCCTAAATATAAGTTGGTTATTGTGTCCCGGACATGAGTTGACGATAATGTCCCCTAATCTTTATTTGGGCGTTAATATGAAATCAGGATTACACTCCATTAAGTTCGGCTTCAACCATTCAATGGATAAATAAATAAAGATTATTTAGAACTGTTTGTTTAAGTGCCGTGAGAGTGACTTAGAAAAATAAATTCTCTTGTCATTATGGTTATTATTTAGATGTGTTTTGCGGGTGCGCAGTGCGGGATTAGAGGACGTGGGAATATAGTGCAATCTAAAAAAATACTACCAGATTTAATATGTTTTTAAGTTTTATTTTTCATATTTATCCGCCTCTGTCTATTCCCATACTCTACATAAATATCTATTTATTTAAGCGACAGACCGATACACTTGATATTGGAAGTTTTTATAATAAACAAGCTAATTTTTTTATTTAGTTTATATTGTTCTAATCAAACTGTATTGAACTAATCAAAAATGTACTTAGCTACTATAAACTAAAAGAATAACCAGATTTAGGGCCTGTCCCACCATTGATAGAGGCTGCGATAGCTTAAAAATGACGTCACTGTCAGATAAGGGAACAAAATTCGATATTCCCATCACATATTTTCCACGTTA